GCCCTATCCATGCCTTTCACTTATTATGATTGACGATTGATGATTAAGTCCTCCAGCTGACACACACCAGCAAAGCCGGTGAGTTGGAATTGGATGTGACACATACACAGTTCTGCGTGTTAGGTAATTCGTTGACGAGGGGCCAAATTCATTTATGGAACAGCGGTATTGGCAGGCGCGGACACTCTCTGCAAAAACAACGATAATCACAGAGGTTTGGCGCGGCGTGACAAGGACTCTTCAGGGAAAGGCCCTTACACGCCGCTTTGTTGGCCGCTCCTTTCCTGAGACGTGGGGAGGCGGGAGGGGCAAAACATTCGCCGCTGTTCCTAAAATGAGAGCGACTCGCAGCGCCTGGTGCGCAAGGTGCGCGTGATGTTTTCAAGACGGAACGTGGAATAGAAAAGCCCCCGTACGCAAATTTCTATACATTTTTTTTTTCGCCCTACTCATTTAACAACAACAACAACAAAAAAGTCAGTCGGAGAAATAAAACACAAGGGGAGGGGAGCCATTTAATCTCCACTCGCGTTCCCCATTTTTCCTGCTAATGAGCCTTATTGACAATCAAACAGAAGCTGTCATCCCCCAGGATGCAACACTCCCATCCCCAGCCTGTTTGTCATAGTGTCCTGGCAATCAGAGCCGCCTGCAAGACCAGGCTGGCAGTTAGCGGTTCTCACAGCGGCGCTGCCTGAAAATGGCACACTTCCTGTAGAGTTGCAGCTGCCGCCTCTGCTACTTCCATTACTTTCTATAGCATGCAGATGTTGTATCAACATTCCCTGCCAAGGGGACTGCAATAACTGCGAGATTCATGCCATGTTTCGGAGGCACGTCAATTTCTCAAGTGGCACAATTAAAGAGGGAAATGCAGCACCAGGTTTCTCACAGGCGCTGAAATCGGAAAAGAGCTTTTTCCCTTTTTTTTTTTGTCTTTTTTTTTTTTTTTTTTAACTTTTCTTCCCTCCAAAGGGGGCGCCTCTACATATGGGTTCCGAAATCCACCCCTTTTATTTTTTAACTGCCCTTTTCCTGAGTGGAGCTGTTCTGTGAGCCTTTGTGCGGCGGACCTGTCGTGACCCACAGCGGATATGGAAATGGGGCGAAGGTTTTATGGGCCAAACGGATTGGACACAGTCGAGCTCAGGGGGCATGAATATTGGATGTTATTTCTGCTCCCTTTTTATGTAATCCATTGCCAATACATTATTAATAGATGATATCATATCCAGAACTAGTGGACAAAGCACTACAGAGGGGCACTATGAAAGGAGCTCTATATGGCGAGACGGTGGCAGTTATTTTATCGCCGCACCCTGGCGCTCCCGGACCCGGGCAACATTTAGGGAGTCGTTTGGGCGACTAGGTGAAGTTCGTAAAGGGAAAATAGGTTGAACACGGCGCTCCCGCCGAGGCTAAATCTTGCATTTGCCGATTTGAAATTCATTGAAACATTAATGAAGTATCAAATGACACCCAAATTCAAGTTTAATGGCTCTTCCAACGCGCCGGGATACTTTGCTCATCCTTTCTTGACTGCGACGAGTGAAGTGGAAATCTTTGTACGGATCTAGTTTTTCGCCGTAAAAGCCGTGTCCCGGCGTGGCGTTGTAGCAGGGGAGCGCCGTATTATCAGATGTTCCCATTCACACACAGACTGTTTAAAAAAAAAAAAAAAAAAAAGGAAAGAAGAAAAAAAAAAGCCCTTGTTTTGATGTGGAATTGTTCAAAAAAAGGTCAGCCCTCTTTTGATGTCGAGCCGATGTCATTGCAAAGTTGTGTTCCCAGGTTGCGCAGTCAAAGCAGTTGCATCCTCGCTACGGTGTTTAAACTCCCACTCCCCCCCCCCTTGCCCTCACTCAGCAGTTAACAGCCAATCCCTAAAAAAAGACCTCCTCAGCACTGCCCACGCAGCGGCCAAGATAAACTATTGTCATGCTATTTGAGTTTGATGCCCCCTTGTCTGGACACGCACCGGCACAAAAGGTGCGACCACAGCGACACCCGTCAAAAAAGTCAACCTATAACCCTCCTCAATAACGCCGACACGGGGAGCGGATGCGGAAGCTAATATTCCCGTTTTTAAGGTCAGCTGGAATTGTTTTTTCTCCTGGGAAAGTGCAGATTGATAAAAGCGCAAACAAAAAGCGCTTTTTCTGAATGCGTGTCCTCCATGGCCTCGGTGAAGGTTTCCTTTCCTTTCGATCAACGGAGCCCAATTCCCAGCATGCGCGGACGGCCATTGTGGCTCTTTCAGCCGGGCGCTCTCCATTGACCGGGCTCATTGTCCGGCCGCCCTTTTGTGCGCGCGCTATCACCCGAGCGCAATCTTTCACCTGAACAGTCCCGCCGACGGTCACGTAAAGCGGCCGAGTCGCCCGTGCGGACGCCGCGATTAACTCGGGCCGCTAATGAAGAAATATTTATTGCTGCGCGTCAACTTCAATAAATCCACCGCCGTGCCGGCTAATAGCGTGGCAGTTAGTTATACCCGGCAGAGGTGTTCAATATTACCGCGCTCGGTTTTAATAGCAAAGTTTTTTTCTTTTTTTTCTTTTACCTCCCCTTTTTCTTTTTAAATACAACAATCCGCGAGCAGATGTTTGAAGCGTGGCCCTCGGCAAGTCTCGTTCGAGATCGATATAGCTTTTCAATATTTCTCTCCTTTGACAGATAAGCACTAGCGAGGCCAGTCTCGATAAGAGCGGCAAACGTACGGACGCGTCGAGCCCCCGCGCTCCCTTTTGATTGCGTGACCCCTTCACCTTTCACCGGCGTCGGGAGGGAGGCGGCCGCACGCTACAGCGGGGAGGGGGGTCTCTCAGGCTCTGGTTATGGGGCATTATTGACCCAGGATTTATAAATATTTAATGCACACATTAAGATCATGGCGGAGGGTGGCCATTAGAGTTCTCCAATAAAGAGGCTCTCAGAATGATTGAGTGGCGTGGCCCCAGCTCGCTGGACACAGAGAGGAAACCTGCTGAGACGATCGAGTGCACCTCCAGCCTGCCTGCGAGCGCTTAAAATTGGCAACAACTGAGCAAACATGTCATTTTTGATTGTACTTTCACCCTCACAACTTGTCTGCCCCCCCACACACGCACACTTGCCTCCACCCTCCTCCTTTTTTCTGCTCAGCTGGCTATTGTTCCCGCCATGGCAGTTGGTGCCCGGGTTTAATTTACAGCCGCGCTCCCGCTAAATGTACAGTTTGCGCATTTTCCTGCTCGAGCAAGATTTTTGTCATGAATAATAGAGACAGCGGTAAGCAAGGGCGATAGATCCAACGCTGTATCCGAAACAGATAATGCAATGTCAGGACGCTATTGTTATCAGACACTTTGGATTATCGGGGGAATGATTTGAAGCTGGGAGGCGATTGCAGCTGAAAATTAAATTGCTCTTTTGAGGGCGTCTGTCCTTTTTTTTTT